GTGTCAGACAGTAGTTGAGCCTGGAGTTGGGTCACTGTTCCGTGTCAGACTGTAGTTCAGCCTGGAGTTGAGTCACTGTTCCGTGTCAGACAATAGTTGAATGTCGGAGTTGAGTCACTGTCCCATGTCAGACTATAATTGAGTCTGGAGTTGAGTCACTGTTTCGTGTCAGACTAAAACTGAGCCTTGTGTTGAGTCACTGTTCCATGTCTGTCTGTTGTTGAGCCTGGAGTTGAGTCACTGTTCCATGTCAGTCTGTTGTTGAGCCTGGAGTTGAATCACTGTTCCATGTCAGACTGTAATTGAGCCTGGAGTTGAGTCACTGTTCCATGTCAGTCTGTTGTTGAGCCTGGAGTTGAGTCACTGTTCCATGTCAGACTATAATTGAGTCTGGAGTTGAGTCACTGTTCAGTGTCTGACTGTAGTTGAGCCTGGATATGAGTCACTGTTCCGTGTCAGACTATAATTGAGCCTGGAGTTGAGTCACTGTACGGTATCAGACTATAGTTGAATGTCAGAGTTGAGTGACTGTTCCATGTCAGACTGTAATTGAGCCTGGAGTTGAGTCACTGTTCCGTGTCAGACTGTAGTTGAGCCTGAAGTTAAGTCACTGTTCCATGTCAGACTATAGTTGAATGTCGGAGTTGAGTCACTGTCCCCTGTCAGACTGTAATTGAGCCTGGAGTTGAGTCACTGTTCCATGTCAGAATATAGTTGAATGTAGGAGTCGAGTCACTGTTCCTTGTCAGACTGGAGTTGAGCCTGGAATTGAGTCACTGTTACATGTCAGACTGAAGTTGAGCCTGAAGTTGGGTCACTGTTTCATGTCAGTCTGTTGTTGAGCCTGTAGTTGAGTCACTGTTCCGTGTCGGACTGTAGTTGAGCCTGAAGTTAAGTCACTGTTCCATGTCAGACTATAGTTGAATGTCGGAGTTGAGTCACTGTCCCGTGTCAGACTGTAATTGAGCCTGGAGTTGAGTCACTGATCCATGTCAGAATATAGTTGAATGTAGGAGTCGAGTCACTGTTCCTTGTCAGACTGCAGTTGAGCCTGGAGTTGGGTCACTGTTTCATGTCAGTTTGTTGTTGAGCCTGGCGTTGAGTCATTGTTCCATGTCAGACTGGAGTTGAGCCTGGAGTTGGGTCACTGTTTCATGTCAGTCTGTTGTTGAGCCTTGAGTTGAGTCATTGTTCCATGTCAGACTGGAGTTGAGCCTGGAGTTGAGTCACTGTTCCATGTCAGTTTGTTGTTGAGCCTTGAGTTGAGTCACTGTTTCATGTTGGACTGTAGTTGAGCCTGAAGTTGAGTCACTGTTCCATGTCAGAATATAGTTGAATGTAGGAGTCGAGTCACTGTTCCGTGTCAGACTCTAATTGAGCCTGGAGTTGAGTCACTGTTCCGTGTCAGACTATAGTTGAGCCTGGGGTTGAGTCACTGTTACGTGTCAGACTGTAGTTGAGCCTTGGGTTGAGTCACTGTTACGTGTCGGACTAGAGTTGAGCTTGGAGTTGAGTCACTGTTCCATGTCGGACTGTTGTTGAGCCCGGAGTTGAGTCATTGTTCCATGTCAGACTGGAGTTGAGCCTGGAGTTGAGTCACTGTTCCATGTGGAACTGTAGTTGAGCCTGAAGTTGAGTCACTGTTCCGTGTCAGACTATAGTTGAATGTCGGAGTTGAGTCACTGTCCCGTGTCAGACAGTAGTTGAGCCTGGAATTGAGTCACTGTTCCATGTCAGACTGCAGTTAAGCCTGGAGTCGAGTCACTGTTCCGTGTCGGACTATAGTTGAATGTCTGAGCCGAGTCACTGTTACGTGTCAAACTGTAATTGAGCCTGGAGTTGAGTCACTGTTCCGTGTCAGACTATAGTTGAATGTCGGAGTTGAGTCACTGTTCCTTGTCAGATAGTCCTAATTATTTGACGTTTTATCAACTTTTTTCATATTTGTCTGTCGTCGATTAACGTCAGAACTCCGGCCCTCTATAATATGCGGGAAATATGCGACCCGCGCCCAGAGCGCACTTCAAACTGATATTTTAGAAACAAATCGTCACTTTCACACACATGTCGCACATGGATCGAAAGATCTATTCATTATGCACAAGATGAACATACATAACATGCCTCAAACAACAAATATATTCACTAAAAGCATATTTTTTCATATACTTACTCTGTTTTACTCTAATTTTTTGATAGCTCAGCCTTCTAATGCCACGTGACTAAAATCTCACCAGCCTACGTCATACCCTTGGGAAATACCTTCGGTAACGCGAGATCTCGTCAAGTCATGTGACATTGCTCATGGCCTAATTTCCATTAAAAACATGGGTTGGTATAGAAAACGTTTGAAAATACTCTGAAACATGTTATTGATACCACCCAGTGCATAATGAATAGATCTTTCGATCCATGTGTGACATGTGTGTGAAAGTGACGATTTGTGTCTAAAATATCAGTTTGAAGTGGGCTCTGGGCGCGGGTCGCATATTTCCTGCATATTATAGAGGGCCGGAGGTCTGACATTAATCGACGACAGACCGATATGAAAAAAGTCGATAAAACATCAGAATGATTTCGACTACGTGTCAGACTGTAGTTGAGCCTGGAGTTGAGTCACTGTTCCATGTCAGACTGTTGTTGAGCCTGGAGTTGAGTCAGTGTTCCATGTCAGACTGTTGTTGAGCCTGAAGGTGTGTCACTGTTCAATCTCAGACTGTAGTTGAATGTCAGAGTTGAGTCACTGTTCTGTGTCCGACTGTAGTTGTGCCTGGAAATGAGTCATTGTTCTGTGTCAAACTGTAGTTGTGCCTGGAGTTGAGTCACTTTTCCGGGTCAGACTGTAGTTGTGCCTGGAGTTGAGTCACTGTCCCGTGTCTGACTGTAGTTGAATGTCAGAGTTGAGTCACTGTTCCATGGCAGACTGTAGTTGAGCCTTGGGTTGAGTCACTGTTACGTGTCGGACTAGAGTTGAGCCTGAAGTTAAGTCACTGTTCCGTGTCAGACTATAGTTGAATGTCGGAGTTGAGTCACTGTCCCCTGTCAGACTGTAATTGAGCCTGGAGTTGAGTCACTGCTCCATGTCAGAATATAGTTGAATGTAGGAGTCGAGTCACTGTTCCTTGTCAGACTGGAGTTGAGCCTGGAATTGAGTCACTGTTCCATGTCAGACTGAAGTTGAGCCTGGAGTTGGGTCACTGTTTCATGTCAGTCTGTTGTTGAGCCTGGAGTTGAGTCACTGTTCCGTGTCGGACTTTAGTTGAGCCTGAAGTTAAGTCACTGTTCCGTGTCTGACTGTAGTTGAATGTCAGAGTTGAGTCACTGTTCCATGTCAGACTGTAGTTGTGCCTGGAGTTGAGTCACAGTTCTGTTTCAAACTGTAGTTGTGCCTGGAGTTGAGTCACTATTCTGTGTCAGACTGTAGTTGTGCCAGGAGTTGAGTCACTGTTCCAAGTCTGACTGTAGTTGAATGGCAAAGATGAGTCACTGTTCCATCTCAGACTGTAGTTGAATGTCAGAGTTGAGTCACTGTTCCGTGTCTGACTGTAGTTGTGCCTGGAGTTGAGTCACTGTTCCGTGTCAGACTGTAGTTTAGCCTGGAGTTGCGTCACTGTTCCATGTGGAACTGGAGTTGAGCCTGGAGTTGAGGCACTGTTCCATGTCTGACTGTAGTTGAATGGCAAAGATGAGTCACTGTTGCATCTCAGACTGTAGTTTAATGTCAGAGTTGAGTCCCTGTTCCGTGTCTGACTGTAGTTGAATGGCGAAGATGAGTCACTGTTCCGTGTCAGACTGTAGTTGTGCCTGGAGTTGAGTCACTGTTCTGTGTCAGACTGTAGTTGAGCCTGGAGTTGAGTCACTGTTCCGTGTCAGACTGTAGTTGAGCCAGGAGTTGAGTCACTGTTCCGTGTCAGACTGTAGTTGAGGCTGGAGTTGAGTCACTGTTCCGTTGCAGACTGTAGTTGAATGTCAGAGTTGAGTCACTGTTCCGTGTCAGAATGTAGTTGAGCCTGGAGTTGAGTCACTGTTCCATGTCTGACTGTAGTTGAATGGCAAAGATGAGTCACTGTTCCGTGTCAGACTGTAGTTGTGCCTGAAGTTGAGTCACTGTTCCGTGTCTGACTGTAGTTGAGCCTGGAGTTGAGTCACTGTTCCATGTCTGACTGTAGTTGAATGGCAAAGATGAGTCACTGTTCCGTGTCAGACTGTAGTTGAGCCAGGAGTTGAGTCACTGTTCCGTGTCAGACTGTAGTTGCGCCTGGAGTTGAGTCACTGTTCCGTGTAAGACTGTATTTGAGCCTGGAGTTGAGTCACTGTTCCGTGTCGGACTTTAGTTGAGCCTGAAGTTAAGTCACTGTTCCGTGTCTGACTGTAGTTGAATGTCAGAGTTGAGTCACTGATCCGTGTCAGACTGTAGTTGAGCCTGGAGTTGCGTCACTGTTCCATGTCTGACTGTAGTTGAATGGCAAAGATGAGTCACTGTTCCGTGTCAGACTGTAGTTGAGGCTGGAGTTGAGTCACTGTTCCGTTGCAGACTGTAGTTGAATGTCAGAGTTGAGTCACTGGGCCTGGTGTTGAGTCACTGTTCCATGTGGGACTGTAGTTGAGCCTGGAGTTGAGTCACTGTTCCGGGTCAGACTGGAGTTGAGCCTGGAGTTGAGTCACTGTTCCGTTTCAGGCTGTAGTTGAATGTCAGAGTTGAGTCACTGTTCCGTGTCAGAATGTAGTTGAGCCTGGAGTTGAGTCACTGTTCCGGGTCAGACTGGAGTTGAGCCTGGAGTTGAGTCACTGTTCCGTCTTAGGCTGTCGTTGAGCCTGGAGTTGAGTCACTGTTCCGTGTAAGACTGTATTTGAGCCTGGAGTTGAGTCACTGTTCCGTGTAAGACTGTATTTGAGCCTGGAGTTGAGTCACTGTTCCGTGTCGGACTTTAGTTGAGCCTGAAGTTAAGTCACTGTTCCGTGTCTGACTGTAGTTGAATGTCAGAGTTGAGTCACTGATCCGTGTCAGACTGTAGTTGAGCCTGGAGTTGAGTCACTGTTCCGTTTCAGACTGTAGTTGAATGTCAGAGTTGAGTCACTGTTCCGTGTCAGACTGTAGTTGAGCCTGGAGTTGAGTCACTGTTCCGTGTCAGACTGTAGTTGAATGTCAGAGATGATCTCCTGTGCCAGCTGTCGTACTTCTGGACTTTTATTTTGAAGAATTTGCTGTGTTTCCACTATTGGGCCCGCCCCTCTGCCCCAGGGAGTCAGACCCAACATTTATACAAAATATAGTCCCCCTTCACCAAAGGATGATTTAGACCAAATATGGACAAAATCCTGTCATTCCTACAGAAGAAGAGGAATTTTAAAGAATTTGCTAAATTACCCCTATTGGGCCCCACCCCTCAGGCCCCAAGGGGGGCCACACCCAACGTTTATACAAAAATGATTTCCCTTCACCATAGGATACCACTATTCAAATTTGGTCGAAATTCCTTATCCCCGACAATAGAAGAAGAATTTTAAAGGTTTTACCTCTATTTCCCCTATTCGGCCCAGCCCCTCTGCCCCAAGGGGGGCCACACCAACCATATATACAAAATTGAGTCCCCTTGGCCTTAGGATACTCCAGACTAAATCAAGATAAAATGTCTTAATCCCTACTGTAGAAGAAGGATTTTAGAGGTTCCGTGTCAGACTGTAGTTGAGCCTGGAGTTGAGTCACTGTTCCATGTCAGACTGTAGTTGAATGTCAGAGATGATCTCCTGTGCCAGCTGTCGTACTTCTGGACTTTTATGCTTAGTCAGTTGTTGTAATGCTGACATTGGCAGCTGAAAATATCAAAAAATTCTTAAACAAACAAAATATCAATTCAAGCATCCTCTTACCAAACCATTCATTACAATTATGACATTATCTATAACTCCACTTCCTGTAACCTTGGTCAAAGGGAGCTTATACCCCAGACAAAAATTCTCTATAGAACAGATATTTGACATCATCTGATCAAAATAAAACAAACTGCTTAAAGAGCTGAAATTTGATGTAGCTGTGATTACATTCAAATTCCCATTTCTGTTCATAAAACTAGCAATAATTTAACATCTTACCACTTCATTGAGCTCAAGTATGGCCCCAACCCGAGATCCGTCACACAGGATAGACTGGATCAAACGTAGTGTATTTGTCTTGTTCTCACTCTCCTTCTCATCTGAAACCAGGGTAATACTGTATTTATTTATTACGAGGGTAATACTGTATTTATTACCAGTGTAATATTGTATAAATTACCACGATAAAACTGTATAAATTACCAGGGTAATACTGTATTAATTACCAGGGTAATACTGTATTTATTGCCAGGATAATACTGTATAAAATACCAGGGTAATACTGTATTTATTTCCAGGGTAATACTGTATAAAGTACCAGGGTAATACTGTATTAATTACCAAAGTAATACTGTATTAATTACCAAAGTAATACTGTATTAATAACCAGGGTAATACTGTATAAATTACCAGAGAAATACTGTATAAATCACTAGGGTAATACTGTATTAATAACCAGGGTAATACTGTATTAACTACCAGAGAAATACTGTATAAATCACCAGGGTAATACTGTATTAATTACCAGGGTAATACTATATTAACTACCAGAGAAATACTGTATAAATCACCAGGGTAATACTGTATTAATAACCAGGGTAATACTGTATTAACTACCAGAGAAATACTGTATAAATTACCAAGATAATACTGTATTAATTACCAGGGTAATACTGTATTAATTACCAGGGTAATACTATATTAACTACCAGAGAAATACTGTATAAATCACCAGGGTAAAAGTGTATAAATTACCAGGGTAATACTGTATAAATTACCAGGGTAATACTGTTTTAACTACCAGAGAAATACTGTATAAATAACTAGGGTAAAACTGTATAAATTACCAGGGTAATACTGTATTAATTACCAAAGTAATTACCAGGGTAATACTGTATTTATTACCAGGGTAAAACTGTATAAATTACCAGAGAAATACTGTATAAATTACCGGGGTAAAACTGTATAAATTACCAGAGTAATACTGTATTAACTACCAGAGAAATACTGTATGAATTACCAGGGTATTACTGTATAAACTACCAGAGAAATACTGTATTAATTACCAAAGTATTACCAGAGCAATACTGTATCAATTACCAGGGTATTACTGTATAAAATACCAGGGTAATACTGTATTAACTACCAGAGAAATACTGTATAATTTACCAGGGTTACTGTATTAATTACCAGGGCAATACTGTTTAAATTACCAGGGTAATTCTGCATCAATTAGATAATAACTTATTCCTAAACATTTTATTTCGATCATCGAAACATTTCTTCCAAAATTTCCAAACATAAATGCTATATATTTCATTTGCCTACAAAATCTGATAACTCTAAAGAACTTTTTCTTGGTGAGTTGGGAAAAGGTCCCTGAGGTCAATAGAGAATAATCTTCCAAATATTATTAAATTTAATAAATGGTAAAAATCCTTGAAGGACTGGCTTTGATGTATGTTGATAATTAAAACTTAGCCAACATTTATATTTTTCAACTCTTTATTCATATTCAATTTCATCTTAAAGACTAAACAAGAGGCCCAGAGGGCCTGTATCGCTCAGCTGGAAATGTTAGCAAAATTGAAGTTGAAATAGCCAGGTTTTGCTGTACATGTATTACATGGTTCATATTTATACTGTATACAATTGGACGAAATCCTGTCATTCCTACAGAAAAAGGAGGATTTTGAAGAATTTGCTTTGTTTACACAATTGGGCCTCGCCCCTCTACCCCAAGGGGGGTCAGACCCACTGTTGATACAAAATTAGTTCCCCTTTACCAAAGGATGCTTTAGACCAAATATGGACATAATCCGTTGTCATTCCTACAAAAGAAGAAGGATTTTTAATCTATTTTTCGATTTTCCCTATTTGGCTCGCCCCTCTGCCCACAGTTTATACAAAATTGGTTCCCCTTAACCCAAGGGTGCTTCCGCCCAAATTTGGACAAAATCCTAGCTGTCATTCCTACAAAAGAATAAGTATTTTGAAGAATTTGCTGTGTTTCCACTATTGGGCCCGCCCCTCTGCCCCAGGGAGTCAGACCCAACATTTATACAAAATATAGTCCCCCTTCACCAAAGGATGATTTAGACCAAATATGGACAAAATCCTGTCATTCCTACAGAAGAAGAGGAATTTTAAAGAATTTGCTAAATTACCCCTATTGGGCCCCACCCCTCAGGCCCCAAGGGGGGCCACACCCAACGTTTATACAAAAATGGTTTCCCTTCACCATAGGATACCACTATTCAAATTTGGTCGAAATTCCTTATCCCCTACAATAGAAGAAGAATTTTAAAGGTTTTACCTCTATTTCCCCTATTCGGCCCAGCCCCTCTGCCCCAAGGGGGGCCACACCAACCATGTATACAAAATTGAGTCCCCTTGGCCTAAGGATACTCCAGACTAAATCAAGATAAAATGTCTTAATCCCTACTGTAAAAGAAGGATTTTAGAGGTTTCACCTCTATTTTCCCTATTCGGCCCTGCCCCTCTGCCCCAAGGGTGGCCACACCCACCGTTTATGCAATGTCCCCTTGGGCCAAGGATGATCCAGACCAAATTTAGTCAAAATCTACTTGGCCGTTCAAGACTAGTAGCGTTTTAACGGAAAAGTTGACGGACGGACGACGGACGCTGCGGTATGGGATAAAACTCAAAATGATCAGTAATCAAGTATTATTCATTTTTGATGTTAGATATTGCATTGTCATCTAAATACAAGATGAAAATTTTCAAGAGATTTTGTGAATGGGGACCAATTTTAGCCCCAAAATGACCTTCAAAAAAGCCCTGTCCATGTGAAATAGGAGATACGCTCTATGTTGGGACAGGAGGATGGACATAATGTAGAAAGATGAAGTGGAAACCTTTAGTCCCTTCCGTTCCTAAGGCTAGGGGGACTTGCAGACAATTGACAGAAAGTGCTGGCAGTTCAGTCACTTGGCTTTTTGCATTTGGCTTAACACGCAAAACTCACTCGGATATGATTTGAGTAATTATTTTACACTACAGATACCAGTACAAAACCCCCGGCTCCCTCTTGGTATGGATATCAGTTGCTTACTCTGTAGATGCAAGTGACTTACCCTGTAAGATCCAGGAGAGTGACCCAAGCATGCCTCCTTTGGAGTTGATATACTTGATTCCTTTCTGGTTGATACTGATGTTGTACAACGCCATGAGGATCAAACTGCAGACAGAATCATAATACATAATACTCACTTGTTTAACAGACTCGGAACAAGTTCAATGTAAACAGTCAAGAGAGAGCTGAACCTCCAGATTCATGAACATGTATGATGTTGTTGTCCCTTATAACTGAGGTAACAGCTTACTACTACATCAAATATTCTGGATAATGTATTAGTTTGCTACTTAAAAACATTCCTCTTTCTTCATTTTTTGTTTTATTTGGACTGTTTTCCCAGTACTTTTAACAGCAAAGATTTAAATACATGAAAGAAATACATTTTTTTTTTTTTATTAAATTTGATACATTACCATTTTTTCCCACAAAAACATCTCTCCTACCCTGTGGGAGTTCAATCCTTCAACCTCTTTATCACTCTACCCTATGTCTACTGTAACTTCATTCCACCTAGACCATTCCACACGGATCATTAACAAGCGTCTAATTACCCCAATTATCTTCTGCAGATCAACATATATATGCCAAGCAGAGTCAATATATCAAACACCTACTTTTTTAATCGAGCACTTTTGCCATTGGGAGCTTCGGATAAAACGTTGAGGTAGGTATCAATGACATGTCGTCCGTTCTGGTTAGTAATGAGGAAGTCTCGGCCATACGCAGATGCTGCTATGTCTGAATATGAAACAAATTATTTGTAAGAGACAAATTTTGTAGTCTCAGAGCAAGTAAAATTTAATACAGAGATGAAGGTTTGAATAATTATTTCAATCCCCAAAAAGTTCAACATCAATGCGAACATTTGTTAAAAGTAAATATTTTGTGTTCAAAATACTGTGGGAACTGTATATTTCAACTTTGAAAGAAACATGTAAAGTTGATTTTCAGTCGAACCATCTATACCATCTATGTGAATATATTCAGTGCTTGTGTTTATGTAAATTTGGGATGGGACCTTTTTGTCTCATTTTGGAAAGAAAATAAACCAACTGGGAAAGATACTTTCAAGAGTAAACTGCATAATTTGGGAACTTGATTTAAATAACATTTTTGCCCCAAAATGCACTTTTATATACATTTATTGATTACTTGAATGGTGAAATGAGAAATTTGGCAACAAGAAGTATTACCTAAGAAATAGACCACCAAAATATTTGTTTTTTCAACAAGAGCATTAAATAACCAAAGAAGTTATAAACAAATTTGGATAGCTGAAATATGTACAGTCCTGAGTATATCAGCAGGCAACATTACAAACTTGTGATAATTCCACAAAGAGCCAAGATAAACTGCGTTTCCTCCTGGTCATCTTTCGGCCAGTCCGACTTGTAGGCGGACACATAGCTCTGTAGGGTACTGGTAACTAGACACAGAAACTCGTCCACTTTGGTCTGTTCAAGTATAAACATACAGTGAAATTAATTTATTATTTCAAAAGTAAACTTGGACCATGATCCTTAAAAAATCATTCATTCAGCTCTGTAACCTCAGTCCTGAATACAAAATTATTGTCCTACCTGTAGTACCATTTAAAACACTATTTATAGTTGTATAAATGTCTGGGTTTTATTTTCAAAATCTAGTACATTAACTAATCTGCAGTCTTCAAATTTGTCAAAAAGTATCTGTATTGATATTTACAACAAGAGTACCGCAGGGCGGAACAATATACGCCCTGCGAATGCCATGTAGTGTTATATACTTTCTTACATTGAAATAAGATCTGCATCATTCTAAGAGTGGTAAGCTGACATGCTATAAAAAATGAAGAAAATCTCCGGACAAAAAATCAAATACTGAAATGAACAAAGGGCAATAACTTTTGCAAAAATCGTCGAATCAAAATTCTATTAAGGGAGACATAATTTCTTATCATGATTATAATGTATATCAAGTTTCAAAGAGATCGGTTGAAAATGTAGGAGGAGATTGCCGGACCAAAATCCAATGTTAAAACAAAGGGCAATAACATTTGCAAAAATTGTCGAATCAATGTAGGAGGAGATCTCCGGACAAAAAATCAAATACTGAAATGAACAAAGGGCAATAATTTTTGGAAAAAATTTCGAATCAAAATTCTTTTAAGGGAGACACAAGTTAATATCATGATTATAATGTATATCAAGTTTCAAAGAGATCAGTCGAAAATTTAGGAGGAGATTGCCCGACAAACAAAAGTTTACGCCAGACGGACGGACGACGCCATACCATAATACTCCCACCAAATTTGACGGGCGTATAAAAACCGTGACCTTTCAACTTTGACCTGTATTTCACCTAGAACACTTTTGTTTTTGAATTAACGCATGTCGTCTCGATATGACCATAGCTGTTGAGTGGATGTTAAACAACAAACAAATGTACCAATGCTGGATCAGCTCTGTGTTGTGCTTCTTGAAATAAACATGTACAATGACAATTGATGATGTCGCTTATCTCCATTGAACTTTGATGGACATTGGGAGGTCAAGGTCATGGTAGCTGTATAAGTTCAAGGTCATGTCCTTACCCCGACCAGGATGGACTGGATGCTCTCCTCACATCGAGATACCCTCCAGAGTAGTGTACAGCAGGCAGACCCCAGACTGGAGCAGTAGTCAGACTGCTGAGATAGCTGTTGGCCCAGGTCCCGAACCTCACATCGTAACTGCATGTTGTCCTGTACACACAGAAGAGAAAGTGAACTACAACACCATATCAGGTTCTCACATGAACAATTGGACATAGCTGCAAAAACATAGCTTTCCGATGACAAGATTTCTTTGTTTATATATTGCCTATGCCGGCCGGGGCAGAGGAGGCCAGGTATTAATATTAGTACTAACATGGACACAGCAGTCATCTGTTACACACTCTGTAGATAAACTAAACTGACCTCACAGTGCAATTTACACAGCTACCAGACTTTACAGTCATATCCTTCATTGACTATATTTCACACCCTCTTTTTCTCTGATGACATCGAAAGTGTCTAGGTTCACAGTGAATGGCCTAACCTGCTTTTCCTTCTGACAGTCTGCGATGGCCACCTCACAGCGAGACTTCCAGTGTTGTGTTTCTGCCTCTGCCTCTTCATATTTCTGTTTGAGCCAGACAATTTCTAAAAATAACAAAACATATGGTGTGACCTAAAAAAATTGACCAGCTTTGATGAGCGATATTGTTTCAAATCTGTTGTTAACAGCAGAAATTGAAATGCTGACTGAACATTCTCATAACATATAGAAGATGATATCTTTATTTACTTATATTTCAACTCTAGTTGAACTCAATGCAGCTATCAAATGTTACCTGTTTCACATTGCCTGTGCATATGCATACATGTATATTTTCAGATTTTATGAAGGGAGATAACTTTTGACGTTTTTTGACAAAGATACCTCTTGTATGAGATTTGACATTTTTACTGGGACGGACATGGGCAACACTTAATATTTCCGCCCCATTTTATGGCAGGGGCATAAATAGTCAAACAGCCAACTGCTAGATCAAATTGTTTTGTCCTTTCAAGTTATGTCTGGTTTCCTGTCTAATTAGACATTCAATTACTGCAGCTTCACATTCTAGAAGATGTAGAACTTCAAAATTTAGCGATTCTCCACTTCATGCTTATAAAAAGATGGCCGCTGTAGACTTGCAGCTGAGCCTGTGCACTGCATCTAGACATTATTCTTCCGCAATGATGCGTCAGAAAATTTAAATATGACATTTAAAATATGTTTTTATGTTTTGTTTCTTCATAATTTGGCTGTATTGAACTATCAGCATACACCATCATTTTGTTAATGGTCCTTCAGTGATAGACTCTTTTTATTTAACATTACAAGACTGTGTCTTCGGAGTTGAAGACTTTGTTGAAGGAGGGAGGAATGTAGTGGAACCTGACTGGGTAGATCATCTGTGACCAGTTAGCTCAATTGGTAAGGGCGTCCGTCTAGAGTTCGGAGGATCCCGGGTTCGAACCCTGGTCTGGCCGTTGCATTTCTCTTTATCCTGTTTCATTTCTACAGCTCCAAAGAGACTGTTGTCCTTGAACCCAGACCAGGGGCTGCCACCAACTGAACCCTTCTCACTTCACAAAATCATGGATATCATTAATATGCCCCTGATGTGCACCCCCACACCCCTTAAACTGGTAATCCTGAATCTGCCCCTGGCTGCCATTTGAATTATTATCTTTTATTTTTTTTCTAATTGACTGCTTGATCACATTGTTTAAATCATTAGCAAAAGATAAGAACCAGCATTTTCTGTCTTACAACAAAATGTTGTTACAGTACAGTACCCATTTCTAAATTGTCGATCTTGCTTATAGCATTGGTCACCCGTTTGTTGACAACTTTGGGGAAGTTCTGTCTGAGCTGTGTGATCTCAGTGGCAAGGCGTGCCAGGTCATCTCTCTGCACAATCACCCTATCCTGCAAAACGAAAAATTGTAAGTGCAATGGTATAAAAATCTCTATATCTAACGTTAGGTCATAGCACAGGGGCTCGTTACAAACGTCTGAAATACACATAGGCTATATTGATATGGGTCACAGCACACATAAACATACACAAGGGAAGAAGCTTCGTCAGAGCACTACCGGTACCGCCAAATTTCAAATGAAGATTTTACAACACTTACTTTTGTTATCTTTTCCAGGAAACTGCAGCGATAGCTTCGTTTTACAATTATAGTTAAGTAACCCATAATGAATATGTGTGTAGGCAGTCATCTATTACACACACTAAAGCACTTTTGTGAAGAATGTGCAGATTTGCTGCCATGGTTAACTTGCTACTGACCAGAAATACTGAAAGGACCAGTGTTCTTAACACTCTGTTACAGTTAGATGTTATACATGTACTTATATCAAAATCATTGTATGTTTATGTGTGCTGTGACCCATATCAGTATAGCATGTGTTTTTCAGACATTTGTAACGAACCCCTGTGGTCAGTGACTCATACTGTCACTGACCACAGGGTCACGTTACAAATGTCTGAAATACACATATGCTATACTGATACGGGTCACAACACACATAAACGTATGTGTATATGTGTTGTGAACCGTATCAGTATAGCATATGTGTATTTCAGATATTTGTAACGTGACCCTGTGCACTGACTACTCTGTACAGTAGGCTATATTGAATGTAAACAACTTACAAATAAAATGAAAGACAATAAAAAGATCTACATCTCCTGATAAAGCACCTTCTTCGTATATATCTCATATGTTATTTTACAAAAGTTGGCTGGTTTAAAATGTGATTTGGTCTGTTCAAATAGAAGTTACTGAAAAACCTGCCCCACCTCCGCTTTGCTCATCGTGTTTATTTGGATTTCCCGCCAGCAATACTGCCACAAAGCAGTTCAGAGGTAGCATTTTACGACATTGGCTACCGCGGGTAGTCGAGGGTGATTCGAGATTCATGTTATTCATAATAAGGCGGCAGGCTGGTAGTTAGTAATGTGTTAAGGAAAATACATTGCCATGCTTTTTAAATGCACAAAATGAATTAAGACGTGTTGATAAACGTTTCTTTTTACAAGTTTTTTTTTATCAGTTTTGTCTCTTCTATTTAATTAAAAACAACGAAACTTACAAAAGATGACAAATCCACGGTGGCTGGCAGGGGCGGGTCCAGGTGAGGGCGTAATGGGCGTACGCCCTCAAAAGGGCAAAGTGAATATATGAAAGCAATATGACCAGGAAAATACGTCATGATGCAAAGTTATAGGAAGTTCCAATATGGCAGCTGCCGAAAATAGTTCAATTTATGATATTTTTCCATTCTGTATTTCTTTCGATGTTTTTCACTGACAAATCAGGTTGCTGTGCAATGAGATTGTTTTAACTTTTGTCAGCCAATTATTGCAAAAACACTTCATGTAGTGGATTATAATATATCACGTAGAACATTATTAATATCGTCGCAACCCATGTACTGAATATTTGTCAGAAAAGGTACAGTAACGTATACGTCATACAAAAAAAGGAAAATGGAAATCTCGAAGTACATGTCGTATTGCAATTTCCTTGTACCGTTAGGTAGATTCCCGGCCACATCTGTCCGGCTTTACGAGAAATTATTACACTACACATTATTGTTATTAGTGTTTATAGTCGTAAGTCATGCAGCATAATAATTATAATTACAAAAACATTGACAAGCACTCGTCAAACTGGGCCGCCTATTGAACTTCCTGGTGCCATGATTTATAATGTTTACAAAAAAGCTTCCGTTTGGTGATGTCAAAGGGTACTAAGAAAGTGCTGAGTACATTTTTGTAACGTTCGATTTCGCAAACTGGTGGTTATGCGAATGGTCATTTCAGTTGATTTGATTGTCACATGTCAGAATGAAATACACGTTTACCTTCCATAACAGAGGTTACATACACAACGTTTGAATATCTCTTGTATTTGTAGAGTTGTTGTAATGACTTGACTTGATTGGTATGATGTTAATGGACCACAAGAAGTCAAGATAAACCTTTAATTTCCATCTTGGAAAGGACCACGTATATACATTGTAGAGCTTTTTTTAGCCATTTTGTATAAATCGCCAATTCTGTTTATATGAATATCATCCTGCTACAAATGATCCACAATGATACATTATGATAAGAAGATGGCTGGGGTTCATAAATATTACAGAAACTGGCGTAATTTTCGGTAAGTTGTGAAAATAACGTTTTCACTAATATGAGCGTGGTGATGAGATTATATATGTTATATTAACGGACTATTTGAATGTTACAAAACGGTCCTAATCTGTTAGTTTACTGTATCCCGCCCATGTTCAAACCTTACTTTACACAAGATGTATGGATCGGATCTGGAGGAACATTTTGTAAAACGGAAGGTCAATATATTGTAAACAAGTTGACTAAGTTCCAAAATGTGTAAGTACATGTATGTCATACAGGGGACAAAAACAAACTATCGATATGTGGTACTTTGTGAAAATCCGAAGCAGTCTCGTAAAATATATATGTTTATAAACTATTACGACCTTTTTATTTTAGCTCGGTCGATACATGGTGTTGTCAACCTAATGAAACATAAACGTCGGACTTTAAAGCACACCGGTAATTTGTCGTCATAAAAGTAAAAGGATCAAACACAGTTTTTGCAACTTATTCTCTCCCATTTTCTCGATCAAATCACAGATTCATAAAATCATTTATCGACCTCGTTAAATTGAGTCCGTATACATTTCTGTATCGCCACATAATATGAAGGCATGGCTGTGTCAACAACTTCTTCAACAAAAGTGGATTGTGACATTTGACCCAATTTATTGCGCACAACATACATATTTCTGTAATAAACTGATCATTGTTTTGTCAGAAAGGTTTTGCTTTAGTCCTTTATTATATCATTTGCTGTAAACCTCTGATAATTTATCTTTGAAAGATAGTCTACCGTATTTAACGGCCAGCAACTGACAAGAGTCATGACACTTTTGTCAGGTAGGTAAATGTAATATTTCAATTCACATTTTGAAACAAAACTAAATGTTTATATGTGAAAGCGTGTTTTTGCGTTTATTGCATGACATATGTCCTGAGTCGCGTTGATTTCCAGAAAATACTTGAACGCGGTGACCATTCCCGTTAATACAATAATAATAATAATATACAGCATTTATATATCGCCCTATATAATTTGTAAAATTACTCTAAGGCGCTTTACAACAAATGGATAATAGTAATGGTTATAATTGTGAAAACAATCAATAAAGGCTTGCAATCACTTTCATACATTTAACAAGCAATGTGCACATAATTGAACAAATAAAAGGGTGGTGTTTACATGACGTCTTTGCAAAGATTCTAAAATACAGACGTGAAGAGGTGAGTTTTTATGTTCCTCTTGAACTTGGCCAGGGTATTCGACTTCCTAATAGCAGATGGTAAGCTATTCCACAACGTAGCCGAAACCCTCCCAAAGCATCTGTTTCCGTAGGTCACAGTACGAGATTTTGGGACACACAACAAAGATTCCGACTCCGACCGCAGTGATCTTGACGGCTGATACAGGGGAACAAGTTCCTGTAGGTACGGAGGAGCTGTTCCATTCAGTGCCTTGTATGTGTATACCAGAATTTTGTACTGCTGCCTGTATCGTATATGTAACCAGTGCAACGAATAAAGCGCAGGTGTGATGTGCTCTCTCTTTCGAGTACGAGTAACTAGCCGTGCTGCAGTGTTCTGGACCCTCTGCAGACGACTAGTTAGTTTGTCAGATATACCACAGAGCAGGGCGTTACCATAATCCAACCGAGAGGTAACAAGTGAATGCACCAAAATCTTGCATGCATCTGCAGTTAGAAACTGCCGAATACAGCCGATGTTCCTGATCTGGTAGTAACAGGATTTGGCAATAGCGTTCACTTGTTTCTCCATGTTCAGAGAACTGTCAAAGTATACCCCTAGGTTTTTAACAGCTGGAACAGTCTCAATAGTTCTGGCACCAACCTTGAGCTGGAGAGCCATTGTTTGCTGACACTTTGGGGAAAAGACGATTAGTTCCGTCTTTTCCTGATTAAGTTTAAGCATGTTGGCGTTCATCCAGATACTGATATCTGTCAGACAAACTTCCAGACTTTCTGAGACTGTATTCCAACTGTCCTGTGGTTTTATGACCATGTAAATTTGTGTGTCATCAGCATAGCAATGATAGTGAAGGCTATGGCGACGACAAATCTCTCCAATCGGTTTGGAGTACATGCAATATTTTCGTGGTCCTAACACCGACCCTTGAGGAACCCCGAAATCTAGTACTTTGTCATGTGAGGTGGCAGATCCGATGACAACACACTGTCGTCGTTCACTCAGGTATGACTGTATCCAGCATAGTGCGGTATCAGTCACTCCATAAGAGTATTCTAGACGTTTATAAAGTATGCCATGGTCGATGACGTAAAATGCAGCTGACAAGTCCAGCATGACAAGCACCGCTCACTATCTTTGGTCAAAATGTTTTAAAGAAAATCAAAGTCGTTCAGGACACACATTTTGCAATGTAATGTATCATCATAAATATCTTCACATCATCACAAGGAGCTCTTTCCGAATTTTATTACATTTATTTGCCGGGCGATATTGTCGGAATTGGCGCTGAAGATTTTCTCCAGGAAAGTGTCAATACAAACACAATAAGATGCAGAGCTCTACACAGGAAACACGTTTGATCACACTCAGTAAATAGAAACACAATTCCAACTATGTGAGCTTCTAGCTTCTACTTTGTCTCGGTGACCTTGGCCTTCGATCGAATGATTTCTGGTTTGATTCTAAATAACTTTGCTTCAGAATGTTAAACTGGCCACTAGCACTGTTTCATCACTCTTTGAGAGGCAAGGATAGTATTTTGTGACATCAGCAAAGCTTTTGACAGGGTTTGGCACCGTGGATTGATTTACAAATTGTGACCACGTTTTGAACTGGATTCATTGCTATCTTACTAATAGACAACAAAGTGTATTAATAGATGGCTACAAGTCAAATTTACAAACATTAAAAGCTGGTGTACCCCAAGGCTCGGTTCTCGGCCCTTATTGATTTTTAATATTTATTAATGACATAGAAGATGAACTCCAATCCCATGTCAAAAGCTTTGCTGATGACACTTCTCTTTACGTTTTGATAGATGGTGATGGCAGACATGCTGCAGATATTCTTAATGAGGATTAAAGGAGAATGTCTCTCTGGGCTGATAAATGGGGAATATAATTTAATCCAAGTAAAACTGAATCATTACTAATGTCTAATAAAAATAATTCTGAGACATATCATCCAGATTTGGTATTCTCAAATAGTGTCGTTATAAATGTCAAAAATCATAAACATCTTGGTTTGCTTTTTAATAGTCGTGGATCATGGTCTGACCAAGTTAATTATATATATGGAAAAAGCTGTACAAAATTACAAATAATGCGAATGCTCAAACACAAGCTAGATAGAAAATCTCTTGAAATAATTTATAAATCTTTTATAAGACCAACACTTGAATATGCTTGTGCTGTGTGGAATGATTGCACCCAGGGTGAAAGTGACTTATGATTGTATCTTACCATATTTTAATAATGATATTAATCCTCGCCTTAGACATCATAGAAACTTTATTGTTCCCTTGTGCAGAACCAACTTGTATAAAAATAGTTTTTTTCCTAGAGGGATGTCTCTATGGAATAGGCCAGACTGTATTTTTCCAAAACTCACTACATTGAGCCAGTTAAAACTGGAATTACTTAAGGAAAGCACATACGTTTTGCAACCATCTAACTGTACGGATATTTTTAAATACGGTGGCTCCAGGAAGTTGAATATAACTTTATGT